AAGGTCTTTTCCAACCTAAACAATTCTATGATTCTATACTACTGCAGTCAGAACAGCCAAAGGATGTGGCAAGGTCTCTAAGGAGAACCTGCAGCAGAGCAAGGATATGAGAACTGCACCTTCACCCCTCTACTTTTTCCAGGCACTTACTGCCCTTACCTGCTAGTCTTTTGTCATTATACATATATGTATATATGTCAGTACTCCCTTTCTATAAAAATAACTAGAAAAATCAAATTGTCTGTATGGGTAGTTTTTAAGCAAGAAATAAAGTAGTTTATATATTTGGTTAGACTATGAAATTCAAAATATGCAAATGAAATTCAAAATAGGCAAATGACTCCCGTTACCACCAGTAATACAACACCAGCCATAAAACAAATGGATACTTGTTATTTCAGGTTTATGAAATTAATCTCTTAACTGTATAAGATGCCTGTAGCCATAACCAAGACATGTTTAATCAAGTCTATGATGAACAGTGCTAGATATGCAACTGCATTTTAACTGATCAAGGGTGCATCAACTTGGCTAGCTACAGCTATGAAGTGCCCATGCCTAAGTTGCTATGAGAGGCAAGCAGTGGGTGACAAATATCAGCATGTTTAGTGGAATTACTGGTATCTGTTTGGAAACGTGTGCATTTCATTTTCAGTTTTAGCTTTCCCTGCCCATGGCGCTGCTTTCAAAGGGGACTTGTTAGTGCTTAGAAGATTAGTAAGAAGTGGAGTAATCAATATTAATGAGCGGGATGATAAAGGATCCACTCTCATGCACAAAGGTCAGTAATTATGATCTGTGTTTCAGCTTGTTACTGTTTGTTGCTGACTTATATACTTAGTTTTTCAAGTGGCTGCCCATTAGATCAACTTCATGAAAAACAACCTCTCGTTTCCTGAGGGCTCGAAAGGGCAACCCTGAAAAATATTTTGTGATGTGTGTGGGTGTAAGTGTCACTTTAAAAACCAAATAACCAAGCTGAAGTCAAGAAAGAAGAGCTTATATTAAAGAGAAAACTACATCTAAACTGAAAACTAAATAGTTTTGGTTTGTTTTTTTTTTATCAGGCAAGATATGACTTTTAGAAACACTGGCTAGCTAGCTGTAAGAATGATCTGTATTGTGGCGTGGGTCTTTATTTAATGAACATATCAGTACTGTGGAGATGTGTTGTTAAAACCAAAACAAAGTCATGTGGTAGTACGCTGTAAAAGAAGGTAAACTTCTGGTATCTAACACTTTGATATTTAGTGGAGTGCTAGCATTACAGAAAAATGGTCCTTTTGTGTTTGAGGGTGTCATAGTAATGTCTGAAAGAATACAAGAGGAAAGAAAGAGGGACGTATTCTTGTAACATGCTTTTAACACTACTTTGCACTTTTTTTTAATAGATATTAATGGTAGAATTTTAAAAAATATAATTAAAGTTGTCATTATCAAAATTGATATGTATTTATTTTAAAAGTGTTTTCTACATTCTTTCCCACCCTCTTTTCTCGGAATGGTGCTAACCTCCAATCGTTTCATCCCCAATCTTTACATGCAATGTTGGTGTTATGGGGAAACACTATGTCTGACTGTAATTTCATTTCCTTATCTCAGTAAGAAAAGAAATATGGCAAACATCCAAAGGGGGTGCTGTCAAGAAATGGATTTATTCTTCCTTGAGAAAAACAGATTACAGGTTTCAGCTAGACATGCCAAATACTGTCTTCCATATGTGAGACATCATTCCTGGCACCACGTGGTATGAGCAGCAGCCATGCCAGATCATATGACTAGGCAAAGCTGTTGCGTTAGGCTGCAGCTGAGAAGTGTTGCCTTGAGTGTCTGACCCAAGAAATTATGTACCTATAGCTCCAGCACAAAGCCCTGGCTTCTCTCCTTCTCTGAGAAACAGCACCGCACACCACAGACCGGGACAACCGGCTGTGTCTGATGTATGGGAGCCCAGAGCTGGAGAGAGGCGACACTGCTTTGCTGCAAATATATGACATCCAGGCCTTACTGCAAGAGAGTGTGAGGCAGCATTATTTGTGTGTCTCATGCTCAGCAGATGAGACTGGGGAAGTTTAGTTTAGGAAGGGAAGGGTTGCCAGTAAATTTCTGGAACTAGAACGAGGCACAAAACCACATTGCATGATCTTCCCCAAAACTGCGTGTACCCATGTGACTTGAACGTCTTGAAGTGGCATGTCCCCTGTGGTGTGTTAGTCAACCCAAACTCTGGCATGTCAAATAATGACAAGCAGGGGACATTTTAGGTTTGAAACACTTCAGTTGCATATAACTGACTTGTGTGCACCTTCCTTCCCTTAGCTGCTGGACAGGGGCACATCCATTGCTTACAGTGGTTGATTGAAATGGGAGCTGACTGTGACATTACAAATGATGCTGGAGAGACTCCAAAGGATGTAGCCAAGAGGTAGCAGTACATATCCTGTAGCTCTGTCATTTATTTACTTACTATTTATATATCAGTATCATGTCAGCTTTGTTGTAATTAATCCTGATTTTCAGTGATGGAGCAAGAACAGATCAGGCCCATGAATTCCAGCTCTGAGTGATAAGTAAAGCTGTATTGTAGCTATAAAAGGTTTTAATTTTCACTTAATTTAATTTAATTTAATTCTTTTTTTAGCAAGGTCAGACATGAAATATGAAAACTAGCTGATCTGCAAAAGGAAAGTATGCTCCAGCTGTACAAAGTAAATGACAACTAGCAAAGGCCAGCTGATTTTTGCATTAATAAAAAAATACAGTTTCTGATGAGATTCAATTAAGAAAACCTGCAAAAGAAAAGATACCTCTGATGTGGGAGTCATTGTCATAAGATTTCCTTGAGGCAGAGCTCATGCCATCAGAATACTACAAAAAGCAGATTAGCTGCTCACAGTTTGTGTACCAGTGCTTTAATCCTGAAACCCCCTCCAATAAACGGGAACATGAAGAGTTTCAGAGAGCTTCTATCACATGCAGGGAGTGTGGCTGCATTTTTCCCGATGGTGGGGATATTTCAGTGTAGGTTAACTGTTCTCTGTGCAGATTTGCTCAACTGGCAGCTGTGGAACTTTTGACACAAAGAACCGGAGACAGTAACTCTAGTGATGAAGAACTAGATGCAAACAACATAAAATTTTTTGAAAGACATGGTGTGGAAGGGAGTACAGATAGCAAAGAAGATTTAACCCTGGATAAAGCAGAGAAAAGGAACGCACGCAGTAAGCACTGTCCTCCCATCTCACTCCTTATTTAAAAAAGTTGGTCTCAAGACATTATAGTCCTAGCTGCACAATTTCTGCCAACTGCTGTGACTTTTGTTGTAATATGAGATAGCTGACAGAATATTTGTACCACTAAGCATTCAAACAAGTTGTGGAGAATTAGAAAGCAAAGCAGAGGGCAATCAGAACATAACTGTTAAACTGTTTTAATCCATGTTGGTGAAACCATATTGGATTGCTACTTGGTTTTGAGATCTGTCTGCTGTGTGGGTGTCAGGTGTAGCTCAGTATTTGCTGAGCAGTGTGATTTCTGCTCTATATTTGTAAGACTATTTTCCAGACTATTGGATTCCAGCATGACTGCCTTCTCCATGCATTTTACCGACCTGGAGAACTCTGTCTTACAGTAAGGGCCTATCGCAAGATTCAAGAACTTCAGCAACTTCTAGAAATTGCCTACAGCAACTATAGACAGCTGGGAGGAATAACTGAAGAGGAGAAGAAGATGAAAAAAGAAGAAAGGGAAATTGAGAAGTAAGGTTAACTTGCCCTGCTAATGTTTAACTTTGTGAGGCCCATTTTAAAGCCTTCTTTAAGTCTAACTTACACTCAAGTTGTTTTGGCCATTCTGTCCTTTCTACTTACCAACTTTAGCCAGGCCAAAAAGAAACGGACTTTAGCAATTTGTCTGACCATTTCTAGATTTCTACCACCAGGATCAGCCCTGCAGCACAAGACAAGTGTTTGATGGGTCCACCCTTCTTGTGCAAGATTGTCTGTTCAGCCTTCAGGTTTTCCTGAAGCATATGTGCAGTAGGTCTGATAAGTCCTGGCTGTTTTGTTCGCACTGAGGATGCCAAATACATGTATGCAGTTTAAAAAATCTGAAAAAAGGCATTAGTCTTAGCATGGCATGGTTGGAAGGGCATATACAGCAGAAATTATTCAATCACCTGCTACATTCCTGTGTCAAGGGCAATATATTTCTATGCTCAAGAAAGCATTAGCTCATATCCAGACCGCAGAAAAAAGAAATTTCAGCAAACCTGCCCTTGCACATGAAGCACTTCTCATAACGTCTGTCTAATTCTCAGGGTCCCCATTAAAAGGGTTGTTAGATTGGTCAGGTGATTTGATGGGTAGACTGTCTAAGTTTCAAAGAAAAGCCCTTCTGTCTATCAAAGATTTAGAGCTTAAACAATAATGCAGCATCCAAAAGACAGCCCTGTCTCTACCTCTACCTATTGAAGATTTAGCTACCCACTGTTCTCAGTCTCTCTAGAACACCACATCCCTTATGTGTTTGGGCCACCCCAAACCACTATCTTTATTTGGTCACTGAGAGGAGACTGTATCCGGAGGGCTTGTATGCCATCAGGAAGACAGCAGACTCACCAGTCTGTGTATATCTGGAGCAGATAATAGGTGTCACAGATTGGAATTAAATAGTTTGTTTTACAACTTTATATGAGCCAAGAAACTGAGGTCAGGATTTTTTTTAGTTCCAGATCACCCCTTGACTCAGCCCAGGCTGAAAGTCCATCTTCCTTAACTTGATATGTCTGCAATGTAGATATCTGCATCCGAGTTAGTTACCTTGAGCTCCTTTTTAGACTTTTTGGAGAGATGTAGGCACTTCCAGGGCATAATTAGACATGTACTTCAGGATGAGATTCATCACTTCTAGGAGTGTCTCTCCTGGCTTTAAAGGAGGAGGGTGACCAGCTCAGATGTTGATGCCTACACTGGAAGGTCAGAGCATTGTGTTTGCAATGATGGAAAAGTGACTGTTGGCTAATGGCAGAAATTGGAGTGCATTTTGGATAGAGCAGCTACTCAAAAGCTAGCAGTGTGTATTAGAGGGCTCTGATAAGGCTCTTCAAGAGATTTTGCTTTCTGTGGCATGTGTGGCTAAACTAGAAAAATTGTGAGGATCTCTGAGGGGTCTCTCTCATCTGTGGAGGCCAGAGAGCATCCCTAGCTCCACAGTGGCCTTTTGAAATGGAAATAACACTTCTCAGCGTACCTTCACAGGGTACCTACCTGTGGATAAACTCCAAGATGCTTGTATCATATGCCAGAAAACCTCATTATTTTAAAATATTTAGTGACAACACCATTTTGCTAGATGAATAGCAGGAGTTGCCACTTGGGAAGGCTACTGTAGCAGATTTTGAACATTTCTGCTTTAGTCCATGTTTTCTGGCTGTAAGAAGCCTGCTGTGAACCTCTGTGCAGCGCTTTGACCAGGCTGCATGGAAAAAATTTCCACCATGCATGTGCCACACAGTTTTAGAGCTGTGTCTCATTAATCTGAAGTGTGCAAGCAGTCAGCCTGTCCCCCCTGAGCACTGATTTCCCGGCATAAGCACAGGCCATTCTCGCAGTGTTGGTAAGGCTGATACAGCTGGGTAGCTTTGGGCTGTGTGAGTCAGGAATACTTCAGCCTGGGAAATGCGGTGGGTGTTGCTGAGAGCTTTCCTGCAGCGCTGTTTGAATCCACGGGGCAGACGACTCCCTTTTCCTTTTACCAATCTTCCGTCTTTGTAGCTGTGCTAATTCATCCTGATACAGAAGAGAGCCAGCTCAACTCCAGATGACTCAGTTGCTGAGGTCAGTTGCTGTTATAATAAGAATATATGTGAATTACGTCTCAGCTAACCAGTTCCAGGATTCTCAATTAATTTAGGAGCCATTGTGGGTGTGACTGATGAGATCTGGAGCAACTGTGTATCAGCCGGTGCTTCAGCTTCCCTTTAGTAAGTGTCATGTAGGCTGTCATTTGAGTATTTCTCATCTGTGGCTAAGCCAATCAATAGGAAGGATGTAGAGGTACCAGATGTAAACGAAAAAGCTGCCCCTGACCCCTCCAGAATCCCAGTTTTATGCTTTTTCTCTGCTTCATGCTAACCTTGTTGCTTCTTGGGCACTTCCTCCTGCTCCGCAGCTGGAGACGGGCCTGGGTTATGGCCTACCCAAGAGCCCAGCGTCTGGCTCAGCGTGTGGGAAGACACCTCCATCTCGTGGTCGGATTGCGCTGAGCACAGCTGATGGCGAAGAAGGAAAACCAGCTGTTTCAAAGAGTCTTGAGCCAGGAGCACCCTGTAGCTCACACCAGCACAGCTGGAGTGAGGAGTACTGCACTGCTTTCTGCTGCGACTGACCTGTTCCTTAGCAAAGGAAAAAAAAAATCCTTAGCAAAAAAAAATCCTTAGGAAATGGGCTTAAGCTGCGCCAGGGGAGGTTTAGGTTGGAAATTAGGAAAAATTTCTTTACGGAAAGGGTAGTCAAGAATTGGAACAGGCTGCCCAGAGAGGTGGTGGAGTCACCATCCCTGGAAGTGTTCAAAAAACGGGTAGATGTGGCACTTCGGGACATGGTTTAGTCTAGTCTACCCTTGATTGGTTTAGAGTGGACTTGGTAGTGTGGGTTAATGGTTGGACTGGATGACCTTAAAGGTCTTTTCCAACCTAAACGATTCTATGATTCTATGATTCTAAAGGCACAGGAACACGTGGAGCAGCCAGGGCAGGTTTGGATTATGCACTTCATGCTCTGCTTGTCTCCTTTGCTTTTGGCAGGGCTGTGAGGGAGCTGGAGGCCCAGCTGGAATACGAGCGAGTCAGGCGGGAGAAGCTGGAGAGCCAGCTGGATGACTACCGCGCTGAGATAAGCCACCTTAGAAAGAGCCTGGAGAAAACCCCCGTCCCCCCTGCTCTCCCCTTGGTGAGTGCCACATGAACTCCCCCAAGATGTGAGACAGAGGCTACTGCCCGTTGCTTGCGCACATCTGTTCTCACTAAGCTTCCCAGGCATGGTGCTAGGAAATGCTGGGGTAAATGTGCTAGCAGCTTTTAGCTTGGCACACTGAAGTAAGCAGTAGCCTTTGTCACGTCCTGACAGTGTCTCTGCTGTGAAAGGATATCAGTTTCTCTTTGTACCCTGGCAGAGAAGCACTGATATTCTTCATCTTCATATTAACAACAGGGAGTGGACTGATCCCTGAGTACTTCCACGCTGCATGTGCAGTGACTGACGGTCCATCTTGGCTGGTAGCTGGTAGCTGAGACTGGACTGGCGCTTCAGGAGAGGTCGTGTCACCACCGAAAGGGTTACTGGGCCTGTGGGGGCATTGAGATCGCAACCCTGGCTTTGTAGGATTCTGTAATACACAAGGATGCAGAGGCTTTTATCCTCTAAATTTCTCTATTACCAATTGCCACAAATACCACAAAAACCATCACCAGCAAGTATACTGCCACAAAATCACCACTAGCAAGTATACCTATGATTAATAAAGTGGATATAAATATATGTATATCAAGCTATTACAAAATACTATTAGCAATCAATAATACAGTATCAATCAATAGTATGGTAACAATCAATAGTAAGCATCCTGGCCTGTATCAGGAATAGTGTGGCCAGCAGGAGCAGGGAGGTGATTGTGCCCCTGTACTCGGCGCTGGTGAGGCCGCACCTGGAATACTGTGTCCAGTTTTGGGCCCCTCACTACAAGAAAGACATTGAGGTGCTGGAGCGTGTCCAGAGAAGGGCAACAAAGCTGGTGAAGGGTCTGGAGCACAGGCCTTATGAGGAGCGGCTGAGGGAACTGGGGTTGTTTAGCCTGGAGAAGAGGAGGCTGAGGGGAGACCTTATCGCTCTCTACAACTCCCTGAAAGGAGGTTGTAGTGAGGTGGGTGTTGGTCTCTTCTCCCAAGTAGTTAGCGATAGGATGAGAGGAAATGGGCTCAAGCTGTGCCAGGGGAGGTTTAGGTTGGATATTAGGAAAAATTTCTTTACGGAAAGGGTGGTCAAGCATTGGAAGAGGCTGCCCAGAGATGTGGTGAAGTCACCATGCCTGGAGGTGTTCAAAAAACGGGTAGATGTGGCACTTGGGGACATGGTTTAGTCTAGTCTACCCTTGATTGGTTTAGAGTGGACTTGGTAGTGTAGGTTAATGGTTGGACTGGATGATCTTAAAGGTCTTTCCCAACCTAAACGATTCTATGATTCTATGAAAGCACTAATCAATAGTATAGCAATTACCAGGTATATGCTATTACAGGTTACTACAAACTCAGCATTAGTGAAGGAAACTTATCAACAGTGTAACAGCTGATACACTGATGATTGATTACCTAGAAGGATATATCATATTGGCATGAAGTGAATTAGACAGATTTCAGAAGATGCCAAACCATCCCAGAGGAGAGGGCAAACAGATCCTGGGGGGGACCCAACCATCCCCAAAAGAGGGGAGGACAAACTGAACCCCAGAAGTGGGCCCAGAGGAGGGACCAAGAAAATAACAGTCTCACTTCAAAGAGGATCTGTGTCAGAGTCTGGAGTCAGCCAGGAGTCCCTGGTGAGAGTCCAAGATCTTGTAGAAAGTTTGTGTGGAGAATTCAGCCTGTTTAGGAAAGGAAACATATGTGCAGCACGGGAAGTTATCAGGGAGAGAGGCTCGATTTTGGATTAAGACCTTTTTATATCATAGAGACATAAGAGAGTGTAGGACACCGCTACTGTAAGCAGCCAACAGGTGCTGATGGTTCTATTTCTAATTTTCTACTTTTCACCTGAACAGCCAATAGGTGATGAGGTTTCTATTCTTTCAGACCAATTTTTATTTTTCCAGACTGTTTTCCACCTTTTCAAACAATAAGTTGCCTTTACGGCCTCTTGTTTTTGTGGTTATGGGTGGTATCCCAGGATGCCTCTGGTTCTTAGGTACCACAGCTGTATTTCAGAGGCCAGCTGCACTTTTCAGGGATGTTTCTGGTTCCCAGCCTCACAGTTCCCAGGCTGGCAGACATACGCTCTGTCAGCATTTTTCAGCAGGCAGTTTCTTCTGTTCAGTAATTTTCCCTTCTAACCAGGCTGCCTTTCTGGCTGCTCACATCAGGTATCAGCCTGATGTGCCAGCCCCTCGCCCCCAGCTGGCATGGTTTGTAGCAACTGCAGCACATGTTGTGGGAGATTTCTTCTGCTTCAGAACTGGTTTGTTTTCCTCCCTTTTACACCAGACTGGGAAGTGAGTTTGTTGAGTACCGCAGTACAGTACTGTATTGCTGCGTGCAGTGGCTGATTTCAGTGTGTGTTCTTGTATATCATCTGCTGCCATCTTAATTATCAAACCTGCTGGCAGCAAAGAAAATGCAGGTATGAACTATCGATTGGCTTAGCAGGCAAAGACAGAAAAACTGTAGCTTTTTTTTTAAAATCAAATCTTGAGGATAGTTCAGAAGTTCACATGCTAACTTTGGGGACAGGAGAGCTGGCAT